GGATGACTAAGCTTTACGATAGATTGGTTGGGGGGGGGTTCGTCTTTATGATGAACCCGTTTAAAGTACCACACATTGCCGATTCCTACAGGCGCGGCAGTCAATTTTCACTGGAAGCTGCAGACTATCCACCAGAGCATAATGCGTAGATTCAAACGCAGATCTCAATCGCGCATCAAACGGATTCAAACACAGAACGACATCACTAAGCTCAGGTAAGTCGCTTAGCCTTTTCGTAGCTTCGAACAGCACTTCCGTTTCATTATTGCCGCTAGAATCCGGTTATTGATCGGCTGTTTTATTCATTGTTTGTTTGCAATGTAGAAAGTACTCTGATTTGACACAGAAGACTGACTGGTCGGTGGGTTTATTAGGCTTTCTGCAATGATTTCGGTTCCAATAGCTGTTCGATTCATTTGCGATGCGATTTATTGACCTATGATGTCAAAAACTGCGATATCTCCTGGTCGTCCAGTCTGCTGATGTCATGCTACACACAACCACACCAACCTGGAAGTGACAAGGTGAGCAGCACGTTAAAGATTTAAGCACAACGAGATGCCTAAGCAACACAACTACCAGTGAAAAGAAGCCTTCACTGTGGAGTTAGTTACCGGACTATTGGACAGAGAAGCAAAACACTCATATGCATCTCGTGTATCCGTTTTCTTCTCGAACAGGTCTTCCTGAACTGTCCTGGATACTCATTGACTATCACTCAAACATAAACGAATGCTGCAAAGCAATTCCACAAATTCCGTAATAAGTCTCACTTTTCAATAGACGCGAGGCGGATTTATGAGAAAACCACACACTACTCGCATGCCTCATCAGTAGTATACATCGTTACACCAATTCTCCCAGTAACTGGGAGGAATTCCAAATGCTTCGGTGGGGGGAGGCACTCTTCGTGTTGCGTCCTTGGTAGAACGCAGTGAATGGATTTTCCCCCTTTCACAATAAGGCACGATAAACTGTTGAGGACTGCGTAAAAATTACTTGACTTAATTTGGAGATACCTTGGGAAAATTTCTGGATATCTGGCGATTCAAACACGCGTGGATCCTGGATCTCGGAGTGCCTCGCTTTGGTCTACCGTGGACTTTATCACACGAATATTAGGGTCAAAACTGATCATTTTATGTTCGCATTTAGCCAATCAAAATTCATTTGTTAGACTAATCTCACCACTTCCGGGGTTAGTTTGGCTGATATATCCCCTGTGGTGTTCTGGGTGACCTTTTAGGAGAGACGATTTGGTGTTAAAGTACGATACAAGATTGCTAATTCTCAAAATAAACGTATCGTTTTGCCGGATAAAGTACAGAAGGACTGTGTTTCAAGGTTTTTTTATCATGGGTTTTGAATGGACACAAACGGATAAGTTTTTCCAAGCTTTTACAAAGTAGCGAGGTGCATGCCGGCACGGATATCGATTGAACTCATCACCCTCCAGCTAGTCACTCTGTCTGAGTGCTGCTTCCCACATCAACATGAATCCGTCCCAAGCCCATCTTATGTGAATGCCTTCGCGATGCACTCTGGTATTTAACGCCTCAGGAGGTGGTGGTAAACGGGAATTTCCACCTGGCCATAACTCTTTGAAAATGAGGAAGTCGTATAAAGTGGGTGGGAGTTGCAAGCGTCTGACCATGCTGAGGTAATCGTCGCGTCTGTTGACATCTCCTGCAAGTTGGGAACGGAAGTAAAACGAAATGTCACAAACGAACTCAATGGACGATACATCTCACATACACCATTCAATTAAGCTGCACGACGAGAAAACTGCAAGCTATATCTTTACTCTACAGCCCTTTCGAGTCATGTTGCTTCTAAAGTACGTCCAAAAACAACCGGCGGACTGCGGCCACCCTGAATTTTGGAGGTTAAGTTACTGATTAGAGGTGGATCACGACACTACTTCTGCTTACTGTAGGTGTTACCTATTGGGTGGATCGTACCAGCACCAGTCGAAAGTGTGCACCCAACCGTCTTATGTTGGCGCCTCACTTTGTTGCTGGAACTTGCCAGTCTACTCGGCTGGATCGAGCAACTGTGCTAAGATGAGCTGTTGCTTCGAATCGACTGGTGTTCCAAGTGCGGTCTTTTGAAACTGCCCAAGACCAAGATTAGCATGATTTAGAATCACTCTTTTAGGCTTTCGAGTGAAGGATTAAAGGGTCTTATACATATTATGGGGACTTCAGAGACATCTGTTTGTACGTGTAAACCGTACGGACGTGCAAATTGTGAAGCCAGTTTTCTCAGCGTTATATCTGTTGATTCGCCAATCTGTTGTATCTGACTGCTGACCCGCTCCAGTGCCTACTGCCGGAAAAAAGACCCACAGAAGGGAACACAACAGCCATATTCCGAACAAGCGAGAGCGTGAGTGCGTGCGGTCTCAAGCTATTTATCGGAGAAACACTGTCTGAACTGGGCCCAATGCTGACGCATGCGGTCTGGCTTTAGTAGAAGACTGTGACGTACTGCATACTGCGGGGGCATTGTCCGACCTTGATTAACACTGGCTCACGTTGTCTGGGTTTGATACAAGGCTGTGAAGCGCTGCATATTGAGGGGGCGTTGTCTGTCTGGTCAGTATCTAGAGGAGCTGAGGACCTCAGTAGATTTCGGGTGTCTAGTGGTTGCTCTCGGGAATCTGACCTTCCTGATAGTCAGTCATCGCATCAGAACCAGTGCGGTTCCAAGACTAACAAGACGCAGCCCGCTTAGCCCTGCATCAAATTCATTGAGTCCAAGTTTCAAAATGAAGGCGTTCAATGAATGTGGATATCGCCAAAGTAACCTGATTTCATTTTCCAATAGGGATTTCATCCTGTCAGTGAAGGCAATCTATGCTAAACAGCTGAGAAGCACTGTACAGCTGTTTCATCCTGCTTGGGTATCATCACCAGTGAGTATCTCACCAAACTCAGAGCGTTTAGAACCGGCAACCTTGTGGTCAGTGGTCGAACAGTTGCCAGAGTATTTTTCTCAAAATCTGACTGTGCACATTGGTCTTTGCTTCAGAACCGCGCCAAATTTGAGGCCAAATGCACCACGTCCAATCGTTGATGGTCTCTGCAACGCTACATGGTTTCAAGACCGATCACTAATTTGTCTCAATAACGACGAAATGGTACTCGATACAAAAGGAGAATGTGGGTCCTAGCTGAATCATTCGTTTATGATGTTGTTCTTCAACAGGAGTTTCAGGTGAGTTTCCTGTACGGGCACCAGATGGAGGAAAGATATAACAACAGTATATGCCCACACTTCACTTCCTGATTACCGGTAGAGATTGTACGTCTGATAAGCAATTCCGTCCGATCAGCTGACTCATCTAAGACTTCCAGCTGAGCGGCTGACTCTATGGAAACCATCAGCCAGATGCAAGGAATCACCAACGAAGACGTCGAGGTTGCCGTTCTTCATTAGTGAAGAATTAAACCTTATTGTCATAAAGGAAACTACTCACAAGGTTGCTGAAAACTCTTCGACAACCCACGACCGGTTTCGCCCTTCTTGTGACTCATCAGGTGGGCGCAGTCTCCGAGTTTCCGTCAACTTTATATTCTACTTGAACCCAAATTGCACTCTTTTCGAGAAATACACTCATTTACAAATCAATTTGGCTTTCACGAGAGACTCAATCTTATAGTGACCTCATCTTTCGTGGAATTAGATGGTGTGATTTGTTGCATTACGAAACAGACACCTTTGCGTTTACTTGTACAGTGGTTAAACAAATGGAAGTAAAATATCCAGACACTGCGAAATACAGTATCGAAAGTTGTTTCGATTGAAACGAGAATAATACCCCTGTCTATTATGGATGCGGACTTGGATCATAGACCTCTTGAGCTCGTCAGCAGTCCAACGAACACCAAGTGCCTAAGCCAACCACCCATGCCATCTTGATACAGACACAATGGCAATTCGGCACAACGCTTCCGATACTCAGACACAGATTTTTCCCTTGCACTGTCTGCGACAGTTCGGCCAACCGCAATCCTAAGTTGCGTGGCAAATAACAACAGTCGCTGACGTCCGCTTTTCCTCTCACTGGCACGGTGCCGCCAGATCCTCCAAAGAATCTCAGTAGTTAGTTAGGACACTGCTTGGATGTGCTGCACCTAGAACCTGATGGTCTGTCCTAGTGGCTTATCTGTACATAGGCCAAGCCAGCGCAACCGGAACACGATACGGGCCGTTGCCAGCGACCGACTCTCCGCTATCGCTGCCAACGTGTACCACATGACAGAGTGAAGCTGTTCCATAGGCACAGAGCACTCTTGGTGTCGCACTCAAATTCACCGGTCCAATGATTTACACCAACGTGTATACCGTATATAGTCTTATTTCTGTGGGCAACCCAGAAATACAACCAGTTCGAGAATGTTTAAAAAAAGATTGCAGTTCTCATAAGGCTGTTGAAAACTCTTCGACAACCCGTGATCGGTTTCGTCCTTCTCGGGGCTCATCAGGTGTGCACAGTCCTCGAGTTTTCGTCAGTCTTATGTTCCTGGTGAAGCAGTCTGTCATGAACGAGAGATTCAGTTGAGTCTCTTGTCACAGCCAAATTTCCATGCTCCTATGGGAGTATGTGTCCATGACTGCAGTTTTGTTTGCTATTCTAGAATGGTCTTCTTTTTTCTCCCACTCACCAACGACGTACTCGTGAATTGAATGAGTCAACGCAAGTCTGCGATGTAAAAGATGTGATGCGTCTATGATTTCACAGGGCGAATGAACGAATTACTCCACAGTAAGCAAGTGCGAGATGACCATTTGTTCGCTACTTGCTAGTAGTAAATGATCTCTCTCGAAACATGGACGCCCTAGTCGACTTGTGTATACCAGATTTCCCATGTAGGTAATCTTCAACATCTGGCGAGTTATTTGCCTTGCATTCAGTCTATTACACATTTCATCCCGTACCTCAACTACTGGACTTTCACGTTTACAAGCTGGGGTAGTGCGGTGGGTCCGGAGAAGGGCTAAGTCTAGTCTATATTGAATAAGGTTAGCAGCAGTGGAGCAACACCATTGTCTTTGATATTAGCCCTAGATACTAACTACATTTTGGATAGTCTTTTTGGTGACAGGCTATCACAAAAAAACCTCACAGATTTCGTTAGTTCCGCTTACTTTGTAGTTTTATCAAACCGGTGCGTATAGAAATCCGACAACAGTCAAGCAGCGATGGTGGGTCAATCCCCGTTGAATCGGTGGAAACACGTGTTCTGAACCTATGGAGCACCCAGAATGGCACCAAGTTTTCCAGACATTTAGAGGTGAATTCCCACTCGGGAAATTTTTCCTGCCAACACTGCAGTAGACACCATGGGTATCCAACACAGTGTTCCAAGTGAATGTGAGCGACATCGGGGGGACACGGTCGGAGTGTCCATCCATTTGTACCTTTCGTGGGGGTCGACATCCGGAGTTCCAACAGCATGGCACAAGTTTGCGTCAGCACTTGGCTTGGATCCAAAAAGTTCACAATCAGGTATTCACTGATGTTTTTCATCTGTCAAATGAAGAGTAATAGAATTTTGACTGATACTATCAGAAACACAACGAATGTGTTCCCCAGATATCACTCATTCTCTTCACCAAAGATGCATTCGACTGGATGGAACTAGGAAAACCCATCAGAATCGAAATGGCTCTGTGGAGAATTCGGCATATTGATTTTCCTCACTGTTCGTCCGTGTGGTATGCCTGTTATGCTATGACAAGTTAGTGTCTTTCCCAGTGTCGGTGAAAATAACGCCCAATCATGTGTAAGCGATGTGTCCTGCCTCTAAGTACACAAACCTATCACTGGACTGCCATTTGACCATGTCCTTATATGTTATTTACAGTACGGTAGAAAATGTTCCGCATCAGCCGGGGAACCAAGTTCCATGTCCCACTTAACTGCTAAGCCTAGTCTATTCGAGTGAGTCCTTTTTATAGTGCTTAAAACTTAGGTCCATATGTGGTATGTTTAATCCTCCCTCATTATCGATCGGATAGTTGCTTCTTGGTAGTACACATCGGAAAAGGTGCGCAGATGGACAATGTGGGAGATTTATTCACTTTCCAAGTAGCTACAGATGTATTACCCGCTGTGAACTCGTGGATGTGCTGTACGCGCTGAGGTTGTCCAGACAAGGAGGTAAAAATCAAGAGCTTGTTTAAATCAGCTTTCCGTGAAAAATGGCACTGTACATTACGTTTCTGGGGCGAGATGACTCAGTGATTAGAGCGCGAATTTAATGACCGGAATGCCCCCGTTGACCTCTGTCTCTCGACTTCCCCTGTCTGGGTTTGGGCAACCTGGAAGTGTGCCAGCCCTTGTGCTTCCTTCGGGTGGCATGGCAACTAGGCACTGAAAGGGTGGACCATTCCTTTGTAGGTGAAGGAGAACCTGTAAGCTCATGCATACACCGATTGGTATGATCGTAATGGATTTTGTATGACACGACAGAGTACTCATCGCCCGACACAAGAAGCCCTAAACCACAGACGTTAAGTTTTGGAATCAAGGTAATCAGATCGATTATTACCGAGATCTAGAGATACCATATCACAAAAGACATACTTATCGGGTGGTTGGAACGACCTGCACACTTGAATTTGCTTCCAGTCACCTGGGCCGCTGAAAATTCTGTTAGAAATACCAGACTGTTTTACGTACGCCCTTTATCGCCATTGGAAGCTGAATTTAGCCATAATGCAACTTTACTTGCAGAAGGAAGGAAGGAACAAGTTTGGCTTATTCACCCCCTAATGAATGAATTTAGTTGCATCGTATTACTTCACTCCACCAAGAATATACCTTAACGATGAAATCCAAATGACCGAAAGGTTGGTTCATAAATTCTGTGGAAGGAACAAAATACAATTGGCCAATTAGAAAACACACCCAAGTTTACATCTGGTTGTGTGAACATCGGGGTTGAACGATAAAGTCAAACAGCTTGATAAAGACCCCATTGTCAATCATCGGACGAATGGGACGTGAATACAGCTGAATGGGGAGCCTTTGGGATCGATCAACTAGGTATCCTGAAAACCCCTGGCGAAAAAACGGAATTTCATCGATGTGAAACTCTCCACTTTTGTCGAAAAAGCTTCAGCATACGAGATGACTAAAATTGATCAACCCACTGATTACGCATGCCACCTTATCTACATTGTGTAGACTGTCAAAGAGTCCCCAGAAACCTCCTGAGTCATTTGCCTCATGACGAAAACATATTGTCCCAACCCAGATATCCTTTCACCTGAGTCATCACCAAGCTTCTGTAAAGCATATCTGGACATGACTATAATAACGGGACACATCGTGCAGCTGGTCCACGTGATGATTGATCCAGTCTGTTCCAATTAGTGAAATGAATATGCTAACGCATGGATTGGTGAAACGACTGGAATCTTCGTTAAGATTCGTGTACTATGTGCGTTTCGGCTGACTTGTGGACACATCAATGGAATGCGTTCCGCCAGAAAGCAGTCTTTTCACGCCACCTAAATTCATACTACTCGTGAGTAGTTTGGAATCAATCCACAAACAAGATGGAACCGAGGTTACCGGGCCTAGTGGATCGCATCGATGAACGGATGAGTGGTGGATAGATCAGTACTTCTGGTAAACGTCAACCATGGTGGACCAATTTTATACGCCATGTCGGTGCGTTAACACAACCAACTAACCCGATGAAATCGGAACAGCTGCTACCAGTGGGGTAATTTTGTTGTCGGGTGGATCTGTTTTTAGACACAAAATCGGCTTCCAGAAATCGGAATACATTTGAAGCAGAAAATTCGCCACTAGGCCAGTCGCGTGAAGCAAACGTGGAAGCTAATTGAACATCATCAAATTCAGAAGCATTCTACTTTGAATGAATTGCAAAGTCGTCGTACGGGAGCCCATCACGTCATAAACAACACGGATGAGCTGGTCTAGTCACAGGTTTAGTGTGACAATAGTCAGTGTAGAAAGATCCTTTTCTACAGTGAAGTTTCGATAAAATTCCAACTTTGGATGCGGCCTTCATGCTTATACACTGAAATTTAGAGGCAAATATATTCAAGGAAGTGATAATTTGACTGTTACTCACCAGCTGACATCGCCAGAAGTCATCGATCACACCAAGTGGACGGAGAAGCATAGTTGACACATTGTGTTGAGGTGTTTCGGAAGCGATTAACTTCCCCACCTCTGGATGGTCTGACAGAACTCGTTCAACCTCCCACAGATTGTCTTGATCCACTAGCGATTAACTCCCCACCTCTGGATGGTCTGACAGAACTCGTTCAACCTCCCACAGATTGTCTTGATCCACTGCCTTTTTCAATTTTTCTTCACCCTGAGGATTACATGGTGAAGTTTGGTGATGTGTTCGGGCGTTTGGGAACAAGTAAAAAGGATTTTCTCGAAGAAAAACTCAAAAAGTTCTCTGTAGGAACATATGCTACCGGCCACCATTAGAGGAATGGTTAGGAGTCGGGGAAGACACTTTCCGGGATCTTTTAAAGAGTCTGTACTTCAGTCTGATCTTTCGTCGTGCGCGGTGGAAAATGTCACATTCTGGACACTAGACACTTACAAAGATATCAACCTGGTACATAAATCCCTCTTTTGTCTAGGATGTTTCCCTGTTTTGTGCGTCTCCCGCATCAGAGCGATGTTGTTGCTGGTCAATTCAGAGAATTATGGACAACTCATTAGGGCGAGACATTGAATCCTCCGTCTCCTCTTGGTATATAATCTGGGTATTTGGGAACCCTAAATCTAAATAGACAGCATGATGACTCCCCATCCATTTACTGATTATGCTTGTATGCCTACTGATTTCCACCTCTTCCTCTCTGTCAAGGGCTCCTTACCTGCCAGTCACCTTGCCACCACCGCACCATCATCGTCATCAACAGCATGACATCAGTGTTCAACACCGATGCTTCACCCCCATACAACCCATGAGTTATTTGAAAGCTTTATTGTAGAGAAAAGAACCACCGCACATCGTCATCAACAGCATGACATCAGTGTTCAACACCGATGCTTCACCCCCATACAACCCATGAGTTATTTGAAAGCTTTATTTATGAGAAAAGAATAAGGGTGGTGCCTACACCTTCAGACAATCAACCAGGCAATCTGGATAGAAAGTGACAACAAGATCGCCACTGGTTGGCAGCCATAGCTTGTAGTGTTTCCAACCAGGCCCAGTGGGGATCATCATCATCATCATTATCAGCTGTAATAACCGTGTACTGGTGGTACTCTGGTTGTAGCTGCCACAGTTTCGTTCACCGATGATTGGGGGGTAAGTAGCTGCGCATTGCACGCGCGAGCTGGTAAATTGGTGCATAAATCCAGCACTGTCAGTGAGTTGTCAAGCGGGGGGGTGGAAAAGAAGCTATGCATTGAAGGCAATAGCTTGGACGCACGAGCGCCACTGAGGGCGCGACTGGGCCATATATGACAATGTCTCTAGCCATTGATATGGCCCGTCTCGGGGTCCCCCTCCAGGAAGAC